GTACTGGTCTGCAGTGATGCTGTATCCAAGGCAGGCCCTTTCAAAATTTTCTAAGAAGGCCTCAGTATCATCGCCTGCCTTGTAGGTGGGGAATTTTCTGGGATGGGAAGTGGTACCTGGGGAGGGGTTGCTAGGATTGGCTGATGTATCCGGCCTAGCCCTTGCTACTTCCAGCTCATGCTTCCTCTCTTTTTCTCTCTCCTCCATCTCTTTTCCTTTCAGCTCCATAGCTCTCTTGTGGGCCTCCTCTTTGGCTTTCTCTTCTCTTTCTCTCAGCTCCATAGCTCTCTTGTGGGCCTCCTCTTTGGCTTTTTCTTCGTTGGTAGTCATTTTCCTGTTTTCTTGTGCTGGGTCACACCCCTCTGCAGTTGACTGAAACTGGGATGCACTCAGCTCAGGCTGCTGCTGAGTTAACAGAGACTTTCTAACTAGCTACTCCCGAGGAAGTAGAAAGAAAAAAAAAACAATTCAGCTTGTAAATTCCTTTTACCAACTGTTTGCTCATTGATTGAACCCTTCTCTTAACAAAGGCCCTTGTTAAAAAAACGTAACACCTCTGCCTTCAGGCAAGGAGAGATAAGATATGCATCTACCTTCACCTCTGCTTTCCAAGCAGCTAGAAGGAAAAAAACAGAGATAAACACTCTAGTAAAAGGTACATTTACAAGTTGAGAAAACAAAGTAAAACTAACACGCCTTGCCTGGCTGTTTACTTACAAGTTTGAAATAGGAGAGACTTGTTTAGAAAGATGTGGAGAACCTGGATTGATGTTTGGTCCCTCTCAGTCCCAAGAGCGAACAAACTCCCAAACAAAGAGCACAAACACAAGCCTTCCCCCCCCCAAGATTTGAAAGTATCTTGTCCCCTTATTGGTCCTTTGGGTCAGATGCCAGCCAGGTTACCTGAGCTTCTTAACCCTTTACAGGGAAAAGGATTTTGGAGTCTCTGGCCAGGAGGGAATTTAGTATACTGTACGCAGGAGAGCGGTTACCTTAACCTTTATAGGTATGATACCAGCGAAAGATGA